AGCAGCTGTGGCCTCCCTCGGCTTCTCACCCGGGGCCACCCCTGGGGCTCAGCATCCTGCCTGCCTCCACGCAGCACCTACCTTATGCCCCAGCAGTAGACAGTGATGCACCAGGCTTCAAGAGCTCTGCTTTCTGTCATGGGCGTCCATCATGATCTAGCTCCATTAATGCAACTGCGCTTACATAGGGTGGGCTTTCTTGAAAAAAAAAAATCGACAACCTCTCAGCAGAGACTGCAGTGTTCCAAAATGCGGGCAAAACACTGCAGCTGGCGAGTAACGTTTGCTGAACTCATTTGACATCTGCCTGAAAATTGCCCATGAACAGTTAGCAAGACTCTCAAATGTGCTCATTATCTGGAGAATTATTCTTGAAGTGCAGTCAGCTCGTAAAAGGTTTGCTGCGAAGACTCACAGTCTCTGTCGGGTCAATTGCTTACAGAAGTTACACAGTACTGCTTTCTGTGCTCCGACCGGGTGGCTTCTCTGGCTTACACAGCATGAGCTGTGAACAGCGCAATTAGGTGCGCAACTTTGAGTCACAATATGGAAAGACGACGCTAAACATTTGCTTTTTACAATCATCTACCCTAGCAAAGCTTGAGCCTTTGGTTATTAATAGTATGACAGCCAGGTTGGGAAAAGAGATTAAATTAAATCTTTTTTAAAAAACAAGGATCCAAGAGCTTAACATTGCTGCTGCCCTGCTAAAAAACTTACTTTCACCTCACAGAACAAAGGAGATAACAATTCCCTTTGTCTGTGCCAATGTCCCTAAACATCACATGTACTATCCCAACAGACACAATCCCAAGCTGATAAAACCTTTCTGCTCTCTCTGTGACAACCCATATCCTGCTGTTAGAGGGCCTTCAAATTTCAACACGAAATTCAAGAACATCATGGCGAAACTAAACCAAAGTCATCCTTATAGTGACAATATACTGAATCTAGTATCAGGACTAGAAACAAAATATATTAATGGATTTGCTACACATTTTAATATTTAAGGCAGCTTTTGATACATGTACTGGTGACGAGGTTAAAAATGTTCTGAAGACCTTTTGGGCAAACTGCTAAAGGAACCACAATAACATGCGGTCATTGAAGTGTTTTTGGTTATTGTTTGGATGAAAGTAGAGACCTTAGTTCACATGCTTTATTCCTCTTTTCCAAATGAGTAATTAACACAGAAGTTTTAATGCACTGTAATTTGAGCACATTGATTTTATACACTGACTTCATTCCTTGTAATTCACATCCTTGATAGACAAGTCTCACATATTGCACGGCTTCAGAGTTTAGTTTCAGGTCACAACACGACAAGGAAAAGGTTTGCTGGCGCAGACTTTGATACCATGAATAATTTTGCAAGATACCTTCAACACAGAGTAGTTCTAGGAACGCCTGCGTTAGGTGCTTGCTTAGGTCCTTGCTGAATTACCGTCATCTTTAATAACGAAATTTGGCAACCTCTGAAATTCTTGAGTGCCAAACCATCCCAAAATACGTATTTCACTGCTTAGTTCATGTTTCTCTGTCTAATCAGCCAATGTATTTTCTCGCTTGTGCAAGGTAAACATTATTTGAGTTACTGTGCAGGAACAATGTTACCAGAAATAATTTATAGGAGCATTTATCCTACAGCCAAAAAACCCAAACCCCATGACATAGTGACTTATCGAACCCCCTCATCCACAATCCTACAAAGAGTGAGAGAGATCAGTCCTGAAGGCGACAATAATCTCAGCTAAAATAACAGACCAAGACTCCCCAGCAAATTCTGTTTTGTATTTGCACTATTTGCCAATTTTGTTTGTGCTCTTTTCTTTCAAATCTGTTTCCCATGTATAGCAAATATGTGAACGTTAATCTTCTCATCTTCACCTCACAGCAGAGTAGGAATAGCAGAGACACCCACCACAGGAAAGCAGGGAGCTCTCTCTGTTTTTCCCTTAACCTCCCTAAAAAATAATTAAATTTAAATGTCACTTGTCAGGAAAACTACAGCCAGTTCACTCCTAATGATGTCACCTGCACTTTGGATGCCTGCGGTAATTTTTAAGCAAACAGAAGAACACCATCTAAGCTCTTATCATTCTTTTAAAAAAATTCCAAAACAAACAAAAAACCCAAACCAAACACACAACAACAAAAGATAAACTTATTTCAAGAGACAACAATCCAAGGGCCAATATAAGAAATATTCATCCTGGACAAACAGTTATCTGTAGATTTTATAGCTGAGCAGAAAATTCCCTATAATAGCTTGGAATCTTTCTTCAAAATGGTGTAAGGCTTTTGTTGCTTCTAATCCTTTCAGAGCACACAAGATTGGACATCACAGCCATGGCATTGCTGGACTGAAAAGATATTTTATGTAATTTTGCGGTTTGTAAGAAGCATCAGTTCAGATTTTCCTTTCCCTCAGATATCTGCACAGTATTCAGGGTAACTAGTGCACTTGCCTTTATTAAAGAAAACATATAGAAAAATATACACATTTAGGGAATGCAATATATAGTTTCCCAAAATAATTCATCATATACAGAATATTAAAAGTATTTGTGAGACCTTAATGCTAAAGTCTATTAAATACACTGACCTACATAGCTCACACTCTACATCGCCAACCCATGAACCCATGACTGCTATATTTCTTTATTAACACAGTCTGCCAGACCTTCACTAACTGTTATGTTTTCGTAACATTATGGCATTTCACGCTTGGTGTTTTTCCCCCTCCGGGTATCAGAGATTCACAACGAAGCCAGAAAAAACCCCAACCTACCAGATGAAGGATGTGTTTTGCCCTTCTCACTACATCCTAGTGACCCCAGTGGGTTGTTACAGCAGGACCACCCCCCTCTCCAGACATTACAGTACCATTTGTGTATACATTTATGACAACTGTATTTATTTGAAAGGATGTACACGTGTGTGCCAAGATCCCTGTGTTCGGTAGCCCTACGGGGCAATTAAAGGCCTCACTTAAATACGTGGCTCCCAAACGTTTCGTGCTGCCTCGTGGTGGGAAAAGATCACAAACCCCAAGTCCTGTGACAAGTAGCAAAGGAGGTAACGGTCAACCTCTGCCTCATTAAATTGCCCCAGTTATGGGGTAAAACCGACTGAAACGGATAGAGCCCGGAAACCGGCCACAAACGCACGTCTTCCTGCGTCGGGAGAGGGGAGGGGGGTAGCGGGCTCTGGTCTAGCTAAAAGCGCACGTAACGAAGACTAGCAGAACAGTGCTAGCTATAAGCATCTATAAGGAGATTAGAGTCTGTATGTATTTAGCAAGTGTTAAGGTTGTTTCTCTGCTCTTTTGACGCCTCAGTGTGATATAACACCACAGGATTAACGCCGATAGCCTGCCTGGGGAGGGCTCTGTCTGCACAAACCCTAAGCAGCAGATGACCTGGCAGGAGACCTGGCCAGCCCCAGGGCCACACACTCACCTGCTTTGGGAGCAAGGAAAAAGAGACCACACACATCCAACGCGGGGCGGGCACGGGCTCCTTAAAAAGCATTTTGATGTAATCCAAGCAACGTGTCAAAGCGGCGTGGAAACAGAAAGGACATTTCTAAAACAGGCTTTCTATCTTTTTATCTGAATCCATATATGGTTTGTTCTAGACAAAGTAAATATTAAATATTTCAAAGACTCTTGGGTAAAGTTTGTCTGCTGCATGCTTCTACTATCGTTTAGCTCCGAAGCAATGCAATGGTAAAACCCAGGAACGTGGACCCTACAGGCACTCTTCAGCTACTGGTGTGCCTTGGAGGAGTCAGCACTGATCTGGCAGGCGTAATGCAGCTTGTCTCACTTCCACGAAATTATGATAAGCAGAGCTGGTTCCCAGGAAACATCCTAAGAGCAAAGGAAGCTTTAGGGCTGGCACATTCCCTGGATCCAAGGAAGCCTCAAATCTCCCCGGTGCCGGCGGCAGGACCGGCACAGCAGCAGGGAAGGGCTGCCAGTGCCGGAACCCCGGCCGGGTAGGCAAGTGCTCTGCGCGCCAGCCAGCCAAGTGACACCGGTGGTGGGCTGCCATCGCGATTTGTCACACGTGGTATACAAATGGTGTTTTCTCATGAAACGTAAAGACTGGCTTGGGGGGAAAGGAGAGGGAAGCCAACAAGAATAACTGAACTGTGCTAATTTATTTCTAGACTTTTATGGAGTCTACTCAGGCGCTGACTTTACATGGGTAAGACAGCATACGCATCTCTCTCCTGTACCTTTACCGGTCAGTCCCATTCTGTCCAATTTCCACCAAAGCGTGCTCTTGTTAGCAGGACAAACATTTAACAACATTTAGACCAAATGGGATTTGTAGGTATTCATGTGCATAGTTGCCACTGATGCTATTTATCCTAAGATAAAGTACATGATACATCATTCTTTAAACAGATTTAAGATGTTCCATGGCATATTTTGAAAGATCATCCAGAACGCTAGGAAACAAGAAAACGCTAGAAACCAGCAAATTATTTTTGTATATCTTTAAGATTACTTAAATAGCCAACATGCTACGCATGCTTAACTTTTTTTATACATTATCATCTGTGATATATTATCAATTAGAAAAGCATTACTTCAGTTATACTGCTATATTCTAGTATACTATCTCGCATTGTGGTACCTCATGAGAAAGAAAGAAATGCATTAAGACACTTAATTAATGGCCAGTCATATTTAAATTCATTTTTTCTTGCCCTAGGCTTTTATGATCTAGCAATGGAAAATTTTCTTCATATTTTTCAGAAATAACAGAAAATTCCAAGAAATGGAAGCTGCTGCTAGTAAAAGAAGAAAAGCAGAGTATCACCAGGGTTACTAGCTCCTATTTGAGACCCATGAATGATTACAGAGTTACTTTTCTGTGTCGAACTTTCAAGTTTCATTAATAATATGCTGCCTCTCTGGGACATAGGTGACCTCATGGTACGAAGGCTATTTATTCATCACATGGAATAGAAGAGCTAGAAGAACAATGGCTTCAAAGGTATCGTGCTTATATGTTTTGACAGTGGTCTGTTGGGCAAGTGCTCTTTGGTACTTAAGTATAACTCGTCCTACTTCTTCCTACACTGGCCACAGACAGCTAAGTAGCGTATCGATAGCCAGAAAAAACGTTTCCTTTGGCAACATAAGAACTCGACCTATAAATCCACATTCCTTTGACTTTCTTATCAATGAACCCAACAAATGTGAGAAAAGCATCCCCTTCTTGGTCATTCTTATCAGCACAACTCACAAAGAGTTTGATGCAAGGCAAGCCATTCGCGAAACGTGGGGAGACGAAAACAACTTTAAAGGAATTAAAATCGCCACACTATTTCTTCTTGGAAAAAATGCAGATCCTGTGTTAAATCAAATGGTAGAGCAAGAAAGCCAAATTTTTCATGACATTATTGTGGAGGATTTTATCGACTCTTATCATAATCTCACTCTGAAAACATTAATGGGAATGAGGTGGGTAGCAACGTTTTGTTCAAAAGCAAAGTATGTTATGAAGACAGACAGTGATATTTTTGTAAATATGGATAATCTTATTTATAAGCTGCTCAAACCTAACACCAAGCCAAGGAGAAGGTACTTCACTGGTTATGTTATAAATGGAGGACCAATAAGAGATGTTCGCAGTAAGTGGTACATGCCGAGAGATTTGTATCCCGACAGCAATTACCCACCCTTCTGTTCGGGCACCGGCTACATTTTTTCAGCTGACGTAGCAGAACTGATTTACAAAACCTCCCTTCATACCAGACTTCTTCATCTTGAAGATGTGTATGTTGGACTCTGTCTTCGGAAGCTGGGTATTCACCCCTTCCAAAACAGTGGCTTCAATCACTGGAAAATGGCTTACAGCTTGTGCAGGTACCGCAGGGTGATCACAGTGCACCAGATAACACCAGAAGAAATGCACAGAATTTGGAATGACATGTCCAGCAAGAAACATCTTCGGTGTTAAGATTTTTTACAGTTGTAAATAATTTTTTTTTAACTTTTTGTTTAGTCTGGTTATTTTTTGACGAAGTTATCTGCTGATTTACAGGTTAAACGGTGGGATATTAACTGTGAGAGGATTTTTAATGACCGATTTTTCATTCTCGTTTTGACTACTGGTTTACAGACTTCAGGCTCTTTTCACAAGGACATTACACCAACCAGAAGGATCTAGAGTCAAATCTCAGATTTTGTATATTATCCCCTATCACACATATCAGCTCCTACATCTGTATGTAAAAGGACAGTAATAAACTATCATGAGCTGCTTAACAGTTCCTGCCCCAGCCTCTGAGATGAGACTCAGGCCCTAAGAAATGAAGAATTACAAATATACTTCTATTCCTTTTTTGACACCTCACAACCATCTCTAACTAGAGCTTTGTTAATGAAATTGAGCAGTATACATTTGCACTAACCTTATAAACTTATCTTGACATGTATGTTTTATAGTATGTGTGTAATTCCCAAACAGCTTACTGATAATATAACAGCAGAATTTAGACAGGTAAGAACATCAAAGTCTCATAGGCCTTAGAAACAAATCCACACACTGAAGTATATTCTTATGCACCAAATAGTATTTCTTTAAATTATTTCAGAAGATACCCCATTTCTTTCCACTACCTAAAGCAGCCCATAAAAAGATGTAATACAATTTTAAAATTAAATAGAATATGTAGGTGAGATAAGACAAGAGACATGTATGAAAAACTATCTTAAAAACACATGATGAAAGTATGAATATCTTTTAATTTCAAAGCAAGTGCAATGTTTCTCATTAGTATCAGTGGACCTCTCCATTAAGCAACTTGCATAGCAATATATGATTATATTGCATGATAAAAGTATCAATAAGCAGCATATTTCTTCAACATCAGTCAGTGCACCATATACCTAAAAAGAAGTAACACAAATACAGCTTTTTAAGGGTAAGCTCTACTTTTGCTAGAGTACATATAGGAATGAGATTATATCAGATTTTTCATCATGTATAAAAGTAGAATTTTGTCCAGTAAAAGAATGCAATCAATTTCCTGTTGATTGGGCAACAGAGTACGTAACAGTTACGTACAGCTTTCAAAGCAAAATAGAGGGTTTTTAAGAATCACCTATTAAAGAAAAACAAATTCTAGCCCTTGTTACAAATCTGCAGCTCCCAGGTTACTCATCACAGGGTCGATACTCGCTAAGGTCCCACCCAAGCAATCCCCAGAGCATACAACAGAAATCAAGTATACAAGATTTTATTCAAGTATCATATTGTGCTAATGTGTTTTGAATATGAATGTTAATGAAATGTCATGAAAATTATTTCCTGGAAAATTCTTCAATAAATTCAAGCCATCTCTAGTCAGCACCACCTTCTAACAAAGAGCTAAAATATGACATTGTTCAGCAATTAACTTAGAATGAAGAATTCACAAACAAGTTACAAAGGTACAAAACTCACCAAATATGTTATTAGGTGTAGATTACTCACACCATCCACAGCATACACAAAAGCCTAATTCATTTCAGCTAGCGTTACGTGTAACACGTGAAAAACTTAAGTCTGTACGTTATTCAGGCTGTCTATAAAGTTGTCGGAAATTAATCGAATAAGAATTTAAAGGAAAACTCTGACCTGATTTTGCCATGAGTGTACATAGCACAGTAAGAGGAATGAAGATGCTACCCCAAAAGGTTTGCAGTTTCATGACAAATTGTTAGTCTTGTTCACAGGTGCAGCACTATAATTTCGAAAGGAAATACTTGTAAATAAAGTAACAGTATACCTGGCTTTCAAGCCACAAGCAGTAGTTGTCTCAAACTAATCTACTTCAGATCTAAAGGTGAAGCTACACAACAGAGAGCCCAGGAGTTACTGCTCATCAACAGGAGCTTGTGCACCCTTCATAAATGCAAATCCTTGATTTTATATAAGATACTGAATCTCTTGCAGCATAATTAAGATTTATCCTTCCCTAGTTGACCTAGTCCTTGTTAAAGTTGCTGTTGCTTCCTGTCAAACTCAGAACTCTAGCTGAACAAGGTCCAACTAATTGCATAGATGAATATATGACACACACACTGATTAGGTGAAGTTCAGCTTTCCTTCGCCGATTCCCAGAACTTGGGGGTTCCTTCCTTCCTCCAGGTTTAGGAAAGGAAACTAAAGTGGAATTCATCCACAACCCTCAGGTAAATCAGACAGCATGGATACTGTCCTACCTGCTACTCACAGGCTGCAATCACTTCTACTATCCCTCTGCACTGTGCAGTAATTTTGGGTTTCTGAATCCACAGCTGAATGGATTTGGTGGCCTTACTTTCCTGCTAACACTTCTGTGGCCTTTGGTTAGTAACCAAGAGGACAGCAGGGCTCCCAATCTGGATACCTCAAGGCTTGAGAGTAGCATGGTAGCCTTGAATTTCTCCCAGTACAAGTAGACTTTATCAACGATTAGAAGGTACACCTTGAAAATAGTATCTGAAAAAATATATTTCCTACCATTTATAAATAGATAGATCTTCAACAGAAATATAAATGTTCATCTTGGAACTGATGTACATATTTCTAAGGTGTTTTCTTCTGTATTCAGCTGTATATATGTGTAGAGTCTGCTTGCTGCGTAGTATTCCCTTATGCATGGAGCTGAGTTAGGCATTATATTTGTCCAGTGTCTCAAGAGCCTTAAGCATGTGTGCCCTAACTTTTGAATGTACAAGACTTTTCTTACTTTACTGTCAAGTGAATTTAAAAGAACACAACAAAAGCCTGATTTTCTACTTCTATTAATTTTCTGATACTAGACTTCACTAGTTTGTTACATTTACGTAACAGAGTTGTTTACTCTTTGCTCAGAAACTGCAATATAGCAACCTGGAGCTAGAAAGGCAGCAACACATCTACTCACAGGGACAGCTTACTGTCCCTTCCACTCAGTAGTACTTATGCCACATGGGGTATTGTTAACAAATAAGTGTTTGCATTAGGCTTCCCTTATTCAAAAGAAATAGTTATGTTACCTAAAGGTCATTTTGTTTCACTAGGCATGGGACAAATGACAACTTGGTTAAGACATGCTGGCTTCTAGTCACTTCAAACACGTGACTATAACCACATTTTGATTCCAAAACATACATGAGCAAAGCACATCGAGCGAAGAAGCCAACTCTCTTCACTACAAGTTTTTCACAAAAGCATTTTTTTGCTAAAACCATGAGAATATCTAAACAGAAGTCTCAAGGTTCATTTTCCATCTTTCCTAATAACAACATTAAGTATCAATTTTTATTCGTTATTGGGAATTTTTTTTTGTCTTTATAATGTAGATGGCAACAGCAATTTGTAAATGAAGAGTGTAATTAACTAGAAAAGCTTGTCAACAGTAACCAAACTTTAGGTGTATCATTATATATGACTGGCTGTACTTATGTATTTATTTGTCTAAATTGTATATATTGTTTTCTCTATAGTGTCTGTAGGAGTGCATTCTTTTAGATTAAAGTATTATTTACAGTTTTGTGGGATTGCCAGCAAAGCTGCTAATCAAGATACTATTTTTTTGTATCAATGTCAAATAAAAAAAAAAAATTAAGAACAAAGTCAAATGAGAAATTGAAGGTGTCCTGTACAGTTTTCTTCTTCACTTATTTCTAGAAACATAAATGGTATTATCTGAAAACACAATACCAGTGAACAGGCTCATTTGTCATAAGGAAGAATATTGTACTGTAAAAGCAGATTTAAAAAAATAATTTGAAAAATAAACACAATAAAAAGATTACTTTTATTCATTACTTGTGCAACAACTTCATCAAGCTGATGTCCATACTGATGAGGTGTACTACTGCATTTGACTCCAAAAACTTAACCTTAAAACAGCCATGGCAATATCTGGCAAATTAGCAGATGGGTTCATCACCGGCTTTGCCCTATTCAGCTGCTTTGGCATCTCCAACTAACAAGACAGAAGCTTGGCAGTTCTACGGTGGCAAAGCTAGCTGACTCCCTGGGCCCTGCAACATAGTTCTTCCACTACCTCCATGGTACCTTAATGCATATGCTTGCAGCCATCAAAAGCTACACACAGGAGAAAAAGAGAAAGCACAAATCCCACATCTCATAAAACCACAATAAACTCACTTTGAAGTTGCTGTGTGACTGCTGGGAGAGTACCCATACTCTCCCAGTATGGGTAGAAGGAAGGGGTCTTCCCCTGGCAGAAGGAAGGGGTCTTCCCCTGGCATCTTAGAGCCACAAGCTGACCCTGACAGACCCTTTTGCTTCCCCAAGCCCCCAAAAAGCACCAGGAAATACATGAAGAAGCACAATCTGGATAAACCCAGGTTATCCAGTCAGTCTCATGTAGTGATTGTCTCCTAATATATTAAGATGTTGCTTTGTCCAGTAAGAAGGCCTGGGTGACCTTAGGGTCTTCACATCAAAATAAAACCACAACACAAAAGAACATGAAAGGAGGACAGAGCCCCTTTTGTTGCAAGAACTAGTCAGAATAATTCCTCTCTCTCTCCATTCTCCCCTTTGCAGTTTCCCATGTAGAACAAAATACCTAACGTCTTTCACTAATGGTTTCACAGCTCAGTATCCTAAACTTGTTCATGAAATTGAGAGGAATGTGAAAACACACACCCCCACGAAGAAACTTAGTTTTTGCAAACTGAAGTGTATTTTATTTGGGTCACCTGTTTCAGAAGCAGCTGAAGTCTGCTACAGAGTCCTCAGGCATCCCAGGAACGTCTGCAGTAATGAGATGCTTTAAAACAACGGAGTTTCACATACAGTAAAAACCCCTTGTATACGGAGAGGTTAAAAGATTGGATTTTGGTCCATAGTTGGACCCCAGGTAAGAAGTAGATAGCAGAAAAAACCACAGCAGAGGGGCTAAAAAGGTGGACCTTCAACCTATGAGAAGAATAGTGAAATATCATTGTGTTCCAACCATGGACCACACGGTGGCATGTACACGGAGGGGTTAAAAGATGGAATCTTGGTCCATAGTTGGACACCAAGTGAGAAGTAGACAGTGAGAAAACTGCAGCAGAGGGGATAAAAGATGGACTTTTGACCCGTGAGAACACCGCAATTAGCACAGTGAGGAAAAACAGATAGCTGGGTGAGAAGTAGATAACAGCCTGGGTGAGAGAAACCAGGTGGTTTCACCACAGAGGTAAGAAAGTTGAACAATACTAGGGGAGGACATGGAGG